GGTAGCAAATCATAACCAGACACAAAACAATAATACTAATCATGATTTCCTAAACCAACTAGATTTTAAGCTGCAAACACACTGTGTACATGTAATGTGTGAAAATGCAATGTCTTTGTACTAAATAATTACTGCATTCCCATGTCATGCATATTCAGTCTCAGAGTCTCCATACTGAGAATTCTACTGGTAAGTGATTACTGCCTTTACAGAGGCCACAAGCAAAGAGAAATTAACTGTGTAAAAGCAAGTTTTGGCGGATTTTATTGCAGCCAGAAATAGGAATATTTGAGTTGTTGCTGAATTCTTGTTGACCAAATAGGCAACATAATGCGGGTCGACTTAAGCTCTTTCAGGAAACCTACAATCAGGAGAAGGCATTCAAATCTAATACTAACTTTTCAGTACTTTGTAATTTAGCCTGTGCAAGACAAAAGCACAGCTGTTTTCAAAATGTGGAAGTCCCTGTTGGCTTGGTGAATAGTGCATGCACATCTCTTCACAGGGCTGGCCACTTTGTAAACTGATTAACAAGCTTGCCCAGTTATGTTGGGAGAACTGTAGTGTAGAGAAGTGTAGTGCACCACAGCAAAGGTCATGAGTGATCTGGTTCCTGTGGTGGTGCGGAGCGGTCGAGTGGTTCAATCTAGCAGAGAGCAGGGAAGTGGCCCTGCTCATTCTTTGCAAATGAATAGTTTGTTCAAAGGTAAATCATTGCTTATACTCACACGGGTCTGTGTTACGTCAAACCTGATCACGTCACACAGCTGCCCGCAGATTTCCCTAAAATGTGATAAAACTTCAGCATAAGATAGAACGAATACGTTTCCACTCTCTCAATATAAACATTTGAGATGCATGTTGTATATTCATATGTTAAAACATAAATAAATAAATCAACCATTTCATTCTAATTGGTTTTTCTGTTTAACTGCGAGCTCATGAAAAATGACAAGCTTCTGAGAAACGCCTCTGGCTGTTTATAGTCCAAGATGAGACTTGCGTTTATAATACTTTAATAGATAAGGAAGTGTTGTGATTGGATCACTTAAACAGCTTTGCAAGGGAATCAAGAAATCTGCATCGACTAACTTTTGGCAGCTTCAAAGATGACGGAACATTAATGAAACTGAAATAAAAATAGATCAAGTGCATTCATTCCATAAAAAAACAGATCAATTTCAGCAAAACTTCCATGAATCAGTTCTGAAAATCCGTCACTTTCGCTTCAGGCATGCTTCAAATATAATGAGTTATTCTGTAGACCCCAGTCCTCTGCATCCTTTTAAGCTTTACATAATGCTTCACCATTAAAAAAAACTTGAGATAACATATTGTTTCCCATTTAACTACAGACAATACTTCACAGAGCGCAGGAAGTATTGCTGCCATAAAAAAAAAAGAAAAAGCTGCATCCATAAACTGTGAACACCTGGCCTAGCTAAAATCCACCTTACATAATTTATGCTGTGACAGGCTTTCAGAGATCCCCATCCAACTGGGAAATCATGGAAGCTGAAACTGTGGAAAAGCACACAATTACAGCTCAACTAAACACACATCTTATCATCAACCCAAAGCACTTAAAGTGAAAATATACCCTCTTCTCCCTCTAATCTCCTCTCCCATCAGCCAAAACCAACTCGTGGTTTTACACCACAAATCTGCTGATTGGGCTGATGCATTGATTCGCGCTTCCTCTGGAGTAGATGAGGGGAACAGGTCTGGTAACTTATCGCACGCCAAACGTCTATTTAGAGAAAACATGTGCAGCAACAAACGTCTGAGGAACGCAGTAAAAACCTCAGGGGTGTAATCCCAATGCCAGCTCAGAGGGAGCCAACCACACCTGAACTGCACCCAAAAGTTTAAACACGGTTGTCTATTGCACTCATTAAGGTAATCAATAAAAACAATGATAATTAAAGGCTGGCCAGTAATCATAAGAGGAGAAGCAGGTCTCTTTGCTGACCACCAGTGGGGGCAATGTGAGAAGCACCGCAGGGAGCGGTTGGTCCCATGGTTGTCGGACACTTCATTTTTCAGTGAGAGTAAGGAGGGTGGACACTGGTTTCTGGGTCGCTTTGCTATGAATGAATGTCTGTTCTTTTGACAACATAATCACTTGATCATACTCATTCAGTACTATTTTACAGTTGTTGTGTTTGTTTTTTTTAAAGCTTTCAACAACTTTCCATGGTAATCCAGCTTCATTTTTTAAGTTATCGAAGAAACAGCCCATCAAATGTTATGAGTAATGTCATGTCACGTGCAAATAATACGAGTAGGATCAGATACAATCTATCACAGCATAATATGTACATAGCCATCTTAGGAACAGGTTTAGGAAACTGTGCTACAACTTTCCAACATGTACCCATGGGATCAACAGTAATTAGATCTTTTTCCTTGTGTCCACTCATCATTTGGTTGTGGTTCTTATCTATTTATGTGTATCATAGCTAAATTGTGGCCTTGGGGTCATTCACAAACTGGAAAAATAAAGGGCACGAATGCTTTATTCTGCTTTATTCAGCATTATTCTTAATGAGTTATACAGCGTAAACATAATCAATCAATTTTTTTCCAGGTACACTTCCTATATTTTTTCTTTAAATCCTTTGACATCACCCACTGGTATGTTTACGCCCTTTCTGAAGGTCCGAGTTGATCCCTGGACAGAGCCATCTTATTGTTTTGACATCAGTGCTAAAGGTGGATCACTGATGGTCCTGTGTTACCTGATTTTTTTAAAGCACAATAAAGCACAATAATTAATAGACTTGATACTAGTGATATGGAAAACAAACTGAATATGAAAACACTTACTATGGTAATAAATCATTGGAAAAGCCTGTCTTTTTTCTCATGAATTTGCATACAACTGGGATTCTGTTTACAACCGCGACTCCCTTGTTGGCTCTTTAGCAAAATTAAGTTCTAAAGAACTCCTACATATTCAGTTCACTATGAAGCTACACATATTTGAAAAACAAATGCTGAAATCTACAAGATAGTAAAGATTTTTTGGCATGTAATGACATACAACACAAACAAAACTCTCTGGTGTATTCTGTGTTACTCAGTCTGATGCTGAAGGCAATATAAACATAAATATAAATCTACTATGGCCATTGAGGATTACTTAAAAATAGGCTTTATCAAGGACTTTTCACACTCCCTCAGTATACCAAGCAGAACAGAACAAAAGGAGTTTTATTTGATGATTAATACATCTTTCAAACACCTTCTGCAAAACTAGATGGAGTATTGAGTTGGAGCTTTCCACATCTAAAGTGAGAATCTGTCTAATTTAGTTGATCACCAAAATGTATATATACTTCTGTTGTAATTATGTTTTATGTTTATTTCTGCTAACAGGAAAGGCTAACTGTAACTTTCCATGTGGCACCGACCTGAGAAAACCTCTGACTGAACACTCTATTTTTCTGCACTATGCCCTACAGGATGTGGACAGCATGGCTTCTGATACTGTATCTATTAAATAGTGCAGCATTCTTCGTTCCATGATCAGGTCCATGGACTCTGAGGTGGTCCATAACACAGACTCAGTCATCTTCATCAGATGGTTCAGTTTCCAAACAAAAGTTTAAACAATTTTTCAGATCATGTTTTGTTTTCGGTCCAGCCGGCTGGAGTAAGTTTATCATACAAGTCCAGGGTATTCAAGTAAAGTGAATAACTGTCCGAATTTTAGATTTTTGGTACACAGAAGCTCAAACACAAACCCAGTTTGATGATAGATGTTCATTTATTTGAGCAGAGAGGGCTGAGGCAGTCTTTTATTCATTTTTAAATGTATGCGCAGAAACAATCGATGATATTTCACACGTTTCTTGTCAAAAAAATGTAAGCAGAGCAGACCCAAAGAGCCAATGAGCAGGTAGGGGCAAACTTGTGTTCTCTATAGCACATGTGGGAGTCTGATTGGAGAGTTGCATCATATTGTGACATGTACCACTGAGCAATCCATTCTTTGGTTGCCAAAAAGAAAATACAATAGAGAGAAAAAACAGAAGAAAAAGGTTCCAACACGGTGCTTTAAGTTACACACTTCTCTGCACACCAGCAAAGGCATCAGCCACAACCAAGTAAGGATTTGAAAAAAACTTGAATCCTATTGATTTTTTCTTTACTACATCCGCAATAAGAACATGCCATATCAGAGACGATTCCTACTGACCTTGAAGTGGATCCTTAAAATCAAATGACAAATAAATAGGAGTACACACAAATAGAAAAAGCCACCGTGAGCTGGCTGTCAGAACAAATAAAGTGAGACAGTTGCACCGATTCCCCGAGGCCCATCATAACACGTAACAACGATAAATTGCTCTCATTTTAAAAAAGGAAGGCAAATTCTGAGCCCAATACTCGCCTTTAACGTAGTGTGTGCTTCAAGTTACGCTTTCGTACCGGCGGCGTCCCATCGCCCCGGCGTTCATCCGCGGCCTCCTCCTATTGGCTGCGGGGAACTGACGCCGTCGTTACGTATCAACCAATAAATTAAAGCGACTCTCCCTTTCACGGGGTGTTTCGGAGAAGGAGCGAGAGAGGTTGAAAAGGTGGGCTTCGCGCTGCATCCTGGGTACATAGCTCCACTGTGATGCAGTGAGCCCGCGGTGTTGACTGGTAACCAGAGGAAAGTAAACGGGGGAGGGACCGTCACAGGACTGAGGTAGGGGGGGGGTGAAGGCTTTCAGCGAGTTACAATGCGCCTTTCACGGTGTTGAACGGGGCTCGGGGGGGGAACCATGTGTCAACTTCGCCGGTCACCTCGCAGCGGAGTGAGCCACTCTTGAGCCCCCGGGGACGGCTGCTGCTTGGCGGGGTGAGCGAGCATGAAGAAGCCGAGCGCCGGGCTCTCTGTCGTCGGCTTGACTGGGAAATGGTAGCGTGCTGTGGGAACCGCACTGGGAAGGATCATGGTTGAGAGGAGCAGCAAATTCTTGTTGATCGTCGTCGGCTCCGTGTGTTTCATGCTGATCCTCTATCAGTACGTGGCTCCCGGGGTGATCAATTTCGGCTCCCCGCACGGCTATTTCACGGAGGAAGACGAGGGGGACATCTTCCCCACTCCGGACCCCCACTACGTGAAGAAATACTACTTCCCCGTCAGGGACCTGGAGAGGACGATCGATTTCCAAATCAAAGGGGAGGACGTGATCGTGTTCTTGCACATCCAGAAGACCGGCGGGACTACCTTCGGCCGGCACCTGGTCCAGAATGTGCGCCTGGAGGTCCCCTGCGACTGCAGACCCGGGCAGAAGAAGTGTACCTGTTACCGGCCCAACCGCAAGGAGACCTGGCTCTTCTCCCGGTTCTCCACCGGCTGGAGCTGCGGCTTGCACGCGGACTGGACGGAGCTGACCAACTGCGTGCCGGGGGTCCTCAACAAGAAGGAGAACAAGCAGAAAAATCTGAGGTAACAATGCAACGATTGTCCCTTTTTAACCTGTAGCCCCCCCAAAAAAGTGGTGGGCAAGTTTTATTTATTTATTTTTTTCACCTGAGGTGGTTTTGTTTGTTGTTTTTCTTTTCACATTTTCACCACAGAAACTTTTGCTCCAGACAACTTTTTTTTTCTTTTGTTTAATGTGGCTGAGGTTGCAATGTGGTTGTTAGAAACTCCCTGAGTTCAAAGTCTCATTTCTCTTGGATGGGGCGAAATGATTGAGCTAATCACACTCAATTTTCAAAGGAAATATTTAAATGAATCTAATTACATTGGCTAAATTATTAATGCGTTCAATCTAATTTTGACAGTCTTAAATATTTTTGTCCAGACAGAGCCTCCAGGGGCCACAGATCTGATTGGATATTATTAATCTTTTCTTCCCACATAACATCTATGTGATGAAGTTATTATTCCCCTAAAAAACGCAGCTGCGATATTGTGCATACAGTCCTAAAACTGTACAAAAAAAAACAACCTTTCACTAGTTTTTAATGATTGCAGCTGCTCTGCTTCAACTTGAAACAAAGCTTTTTTTTCCCTCTCCCCACAAAGCAGGAGAGAGGTTTTAGATTAAAGACGGCTGACACGATTGTGTGCCTTCTCCTGAAACAGGGGGCTGATAAGGGACACGGGGAGACAAAAGTTGATTGACGTCTCCGCACTGTGCTGTCACAGATTCCGCGGAAGCACAACAGGGCCTCCAACATTTGTTGATGGGTGCCAATAACGGGGTGCCCTCCCACTGAATCGCACACTGGGATTTGGCTGAATTCATATCGGGAGCGTGTAACACACCCAGGCAGTGTTCCCACTCTGCCGTAATCCCTTGTTTTGACTGCGAGATGTTCAGACATGAGGCAGATTCTTATTAAGGTGGAACCCATTTTTTTTTCCTCTCCCCACGCCTCCCACATTGTTGTAGCCCACATATTGCATCCCTCGCACAGACATATTGACGGCTGTATCAACTTCCATTTCACTGCACCCTTGTGGCTCGAGGCTGTGCTTGTTGGACGGGGCGTGTGCCTGTTGTGTTGTCTGGGCATGATCGATATTTTTATTTCTGCCGCGGATAATCGATGGGACAAATAGGGCTCTGAAAAAAAATATTAAAAAAGTGGAAATTTGTCTGTCTGGCAGACCAGATCTGGTTGGATGTGAGGCCGTCTGCTCCGCTTCCCATGGCAGCTGGACCTGGAGCTCAGTGCTGGCTGGACAGGGCTGGGCTGGGATTGTGGGAGGGGGGCATTAGAGGGGGACCCTGTGGGGGGCTGGCTCCGCTCTAATCCGGGTGATTATTACCGCTGGGACTCACACACACACACACACACACACTAGCGGTGGTATTTGCTGCTGGCGTCGGTCCTGACTCCTTGCGGTTTCCCCTCCGGTCAGAGGTGGTAACGGGCTCGGGCCGCCCTGCGCGGGGAGCTGAGATATCGCATTGGACGCGGGATAAACGGCCCCTCGTCACTTTCGGGGCACTGTTTCAGAGCTTGAGCTTGATCGGAGCTTTGCAGTCCTGTCCCCTTTCTCTGAGTGTGTGTGTGAGTGTGTGTTCCTGAGGAGGCCTGGGCAACAGAAAGAGACAGGCAGGCTGAGTGGAAGAGAGAGGTCTGCATGCGTGGTGCATGGATGCAAGCGCAGCAGAGAGACAGTCGTTTGCCTCGGGTTTAAGCATGTGCCTTATCAGTGCTGACACGAGCAACAAGAACCTATAAGCCTAAACACCCTGAAGAAAAACGGTGCCGCTCCGCGTTACGCACAACAGCCCAGCAGAAAACTCTCCGTGTTGCCTTTGCCGTCACAGCCCGGTTTATGTTTTGCTTTTTTCCCCTCTCTCTTTTGTTGAATCTTTTTTATCCCTGAATGCTTTTGTCAGCAGTTGGGACTGTTTCGGCTCTCTCGGGGCATCGTGTTAAACGCGAGGAGCATTTGTCTGGAGGCCAGCAAAAGGGGTGCACGGAGGTGATCAGCACTTGCAGAGCGGCGGTGAGGGATATTGTGGCGAGTCGTTGTGCGTACCGCTCTCAGATCAGCTGCCTGTGTCACCCCTGTACACACACACACACACACACACACACACACACACACACACCGGCTCACTTTTTGCAGGAAGTGGTTTGGAGTAGAATGTGTGCTTGTGAGATACAGAAAAGAGGAAGGCACTCATCCAGAAAAAGTTCAACCGCACGACAGCGGCGTTGAGATCCATGGGCTCTTTCTCTCTCTTTCTCTCTCTCTCTCTCTGCAGCTGCGCTCTTCTCCGGCTGTCAAGTGAATTTTGCACAAGCGATTCAGGCACGGCGAAAAATGAAGTGTGAATTAGGGCGATTTCCATCGAAACACGCACATATGCCTGCTGACTGTTGAGGGGGGGTGGTGGGGACAGACACACGCACGCACTTTTCCAATGAAACAAAGGGGGAAAATCAAGAGTTGCCGAAAATATTTAAATATTGATCAGCTGCTGATATGTCGCCTGTGATGTTTTCAGTGATCACACATGATCGAGATGCAAAGGAGCTGCGTGTGTGAGCTTTATAGAAACCGGTGAGGGTTTGGATTTGATAGATTATCCAGTTTTCCATCAGGATTTAACGTCTGATTTATAGATGATCAATTCAATGTAATGTTTTTAAATTAAATGAATTGCTTGAGCACAAACTAACCAGCTGCAGAGGAGTTTTCTTTGAAGCTGAATAATAATATCCATGCTTTCCATGCTTAGCTGCTATGGCTTGTTTAACTATTGATTCCATAGGTGCATCTTCTGCACAGTTTCCCCAGAAAATGTTTCACCCCATTGGAGCATAACTAGACCATGCGAGAGGCTGAGTAAATTAAATTGAATATGGAGGTTCTGGGATCACAGCACTTCCTAAATTGGGAGAGCAAAGTGCTCCGATGGGTTCGGCTCGGTTCGTTCTGGAGGTAAACGTGTCCGATTTAGGAGGTGCTCCCACACTAACGCCGTTTCTGACATCATATATAGTTTTTTTTCTGTTCTTTGCTGATGCCAGGGGACTCACTAATACACGTTCTCGCACACTAATGAGAGTGTGACACAAACAGACCTTAATGCAATCTTTAAGATATGGGACTTGTAATTGGTTAAGGAGGTTCCTATCACTTTGCTCAAATTAGAGCCAGTTTTGGATAGATGGAGAGAGGAGGGAGAGAAAGGAAGGAGGGGGGGGGACCATCTGTCCTGCACAAGAGTGTGCATGCACACATCTCCTGACTGTGAGCGTTGTCTGTTTTTAATCCTTGTGTGTCACAGGGCATCATGGTAAGTAAAATGATGGCCCTAATTTTACTGCCTCCATCTCAGTCTGCTCTCAAATCACTGCCCCCCCCCCCCGCCCTTCATCTCTGTCTCTCTCGACTCTTCTTTATCTCCTTTGCTTGTCTGGAAAACACTCTCCCTCCCTCTCGTTGCTTCCCTCCTTCCTCCCTTCCATCCATGATGGTGTCATTCTACAATCAAACAGCAGGCTTGCTTTCCGCTTGGTGGCTTTATGGCCCGGGGCTCTCTCTCTCTCTCTGTCTCACTGCTTCACTTTTCTCACTTCTCCCTTTCCTCCCCTCCCTCCATCTCTGCCCCCTTGTCTTTCTTTCCCTCCTTTGCCATCTCTCTTTCCCTCTCCCTCTGAGCGTGACTACCGCATTAGAGGAAATGTCTTTTCATGGAAGATTTGCTGCAATTTCCAAAATGGCTGCTTTGCCTAATGGACAACTGCCTTGGTTCTAATGAATGATTACATCTATGGATATGGATGGGGGGGCCGGGATGAGGGGGCGGGCAAGGGGAGAGGACCAGAGGAGGAGATGGGAGTGGATGAAAAGTAATCTGTGGAGGAGGATGGGATGAGTGTGGGTCTAGAGGGGAGCTGTCAGGGAGTGATTGAATGTATAAAAGATGGCAAACAGTGAAAACATTTAGTTTCATTGCTGGGGAGGGGGCTAGTCAATTAGCACGGCTGTCAAGCAGTGGGCATTCCTCTTCTTTCAGCAGGTCTGTTTCAGATTCACAGCACAAATCGGCACATTTAGGATGGCTTTGTGAGTAACTGTGCTGTGTGCATGCGTGTGTTTTGGGGGCTGGGGTGGGGGGTGGGGGGGGGGTGCATGCATGGAAGCCGTGTGTGAGGCCATCAGCCGGCCAGCACAACCCAGAAGCCGAATGAGCTCCAGGAAAGCTGCAGAGGCCGATTGGCATACAGGGTGTGTGTGTGTGTATGTGTGTGTGTTGGTGTGTGAGTGCGTGCGCGTACGAAGGCACTCATGTGTTTGCAGGCCGGTCGGTGTTAATCCAATCAGATTAGGCGGGTTTAAGCGCTGGCAACCAGGCACTCCAAAGCCCTTTCCGTCCGCTCATCCGCCGGCCGCCCCGCGCTGCAGCGCTCCCATCAGCCCCCGGCCGTTTGATTCTCTGCATGTTTACAGAGCTTCAATCACTCAATCTGCTTGCTTTAATGGAAATTAGGCCCTAACTGGACTTACCATTGTCGCCCCATACCTGTAACTAACCTCTATTGACCCATTTTGACCCGGTGAAAAATACAGGCGCGGCAGCTCTTCCGCTCCGTTTGCAGGGCACCTCGGGTTAAATCAGAGGAATTTAGATACAAGAAAAGACACTGCAAGAGCATTTTTCCCATTCGATTAATCACGGACTTGTGAACACATTTTGTGCTGAAAACATCAGCAGGCTAATGGACGTTTTAGAAGATATGAAATTAGAATAATACTAATTTTTTTTGAGCAAATTTTTTCGTTTTATTGGAAAATTCAAATGAGGATGAACAGGAAAATGTGGGGAGGGGAATGAGATTCAGTTAAGGGGCACACCAAATGCATTTGTGCTGATCTGGTATGCAGCCTAACCACTTAGTGTTTGGTTTTAATAAGTAATGAAAGTTCTCAATCTCAACTTGCGTTGTGTCTTAGGGTAATCACCTATG